TATCTTTTTTTGTCGTTTTTTTACAAATGTGGGTTTTATAATTTTCAAAACGTATGTGATTTTTTTTTACTTATAAACTACCATACACCTTAAAGTCACATGACATTTTGTTGTGCTTTCTTACTGTAGCTCTGGTATCCCTCCTTTCATGCTTTGGGCCTTCTTTAGGTCCTTGTTGCGCCAGAGATGAGAGCCTGTGGGTCAGGCTTATGTATATGCACAAGTAATTTTATGGTGTGTAAATTTATTCAACAAATATTGACTACATATATGCAAGGCACTATGTCATGTCACATTGAGTAAGAGGCCTTTGGGACCTCCTATTTCAAATTGATTTTAGGATATATTAAATCACGTTTTTTGAATGGCAGGTTTCCTTTCTGTAAGAATAATTGGCTTATGTTAATCTTAAAATTATTTTGTATTCCTTGAGAAAAATCCCAGATGGAGGGGAAGATGACCTAGAAGAATGCATGATAGTTTAGATATAAAATTTATGATAGAGAATTCAGCAAATGAATTATCTACTCTTGGCTAAGCCAGAGTCGAATCCAAAAAGTAGTAGGTAATAATTTTACCAAGGAGAAGAAGAAGAAAATGTTTTTAATTTTACTTTTCAAAGGGATCTCAAGAAGGCAGAATTGCATCTGTCCACATTAAGGGCCAAAGTTGACCATCGTCTTCAGAACATGGACTTTCTGAAAGCAAAATCAGAGGAGTTCAGATTTGAAATCAAAGCTGCAGAGGTTTGTATGAACGACTGAATATAGTTAGCTATCTTCGGATGACTTTTCGACTGTCATCCTCACAAATAGGCAGTATTATTACTCCCTTTTTACAGATGAGAGGACTACAGAGAAGATAGGTAACTTGTCCACAGTTCCATAGCTACTTACCTGCAGATCCAGATTCACACTCAGGCATTCAGGCTCTGAAACTCAGGCCTTCAGTACCATACTCAGCTTGTCACAAACGTGCGAGTGTGGAAGGGATTCACACGGAACATACAAGTGTTCAGGCGCATGTACAATTTTTCATCTATGATTTGTAGCTCCTCTGTACTGTGTCATGTGTTGAAAATATTTCATGGTCACTTCCAAAATAATTTTTAACTGAATCCCCTTTTTTGTAATTCTAGGAGCAGCTTTCAGCCAGAGGCATGGATGCTTCTCTGTCTCATCAGTCCCTAGTAGCACTGTCAGAGGTGAGCTTATTTTCACTTTTTGAAAAATACTAGTCCAGAATCTGCTTTTTCATTTGTTTCTTTTTATAGGGCTCTTATTTAGTATTAATCTCCTTTCTTTACCTTTGTACTTTATGTTCATCAGTATTTATATCTTTATTACTTGATTAGCTATATGTATCCTCATATTTGGTTTTCTTTATTTTTTTACTATAGGCTAGAAATTCTTTGCTGGAGGCAGTTGTATATTTTGATTTATTTATTAAATAAATTTATTGAGGGACAATGTGCTAACCATCTAGGTGCTCCTCTTTCTTCTCTTTCAGTGTACAGTAAAAATGGAGGTCCCCAAACTCTTGTAGTTACCAAATACAAGTCTGAGTTTTTAGGTTGTATGAGGGTTTTTTATCTATTTTGGTGGGAAGAGAGAAAAAGAAGGGGTTTTGTTTTATTATTCACAAGTTTTTTGTACTTTGATTCTTGGAATCTTAAGTTGGCAATCCATAAATATGGATTTGAAACTCTAGATGTTCCTTTACATCTTGATTCCTCTTAATCACATTCTTTTGTATTCCTAGACAGCATACTTCAATCCTATGCTTAATAAATGAGAGTATAAGTTTCCTATTTTAAGCGTCTTATAAATAATGTTTCCATTGGAAGTGGATTTGTCTATCCATTTATCTTTGAAGCTCTTTGATACATTATTTAAAATATTCTAATGTTAATGCTTTATGGTGCTTTATTTCAGAAATGAGCAGTATTTAGTTGCTTTGTGAATATCTCTATTACTTTGTGATTTTATGTTTTTCCTCAGAAATTGGCAGAGTTAAAACGACGGACTATACCTCTGAAGAGAAAACTGGAGTCCTATTTAGATTTAATGCCGGTAATCATTCTTACGAATTAAAAAAAAGTCATTCCTTCAGCCTTCCCCAAGGACACTACATGATCATGAAAATAGTCCGTGTTTTAAAATTTAAAGTCAGTGCTCGGCTATGCAGTGGCTCATGAATATAATCCCAGAACTTTGAGAGCCTGAGGCAGGAGGATTAGCTTGAAGCCAGGAGTTTAAGACCAGCCTGGGAAACATAGCAAGACCCTGTCTTTGCAAAAAATAGAAAAATTAGCCAGATGTTGTGGTGCATGCCTGTAGTCCTAGCTACTCGAGAGGCTAAGCCAGGAGGATCGCTTGTGCCTGAGAGTTGGAGGTTGCAGTGAGCTATGGTCACTCCACAGTACTCCAGTCTGGGCGGTGGAGGGAGACCCTGTCTCACCAAAAAAAAAAAAAAAAAAAATCAGTACTGAATTTCAGTATTATATGTACATTGGATATTCCTTCTGTAAGGTTTTTTGCCTTTTGAAAGTGATTGTGATATGTGATATTTTTTCTCCTTGAGTCTGAATTGAGGCAATATAACCTTTCCTTGTTTTATTTTTCTTTAAAAGAATCCATCTCTTGCTCAAGTGAAAATTGAAGAAGCAAAGCGAGAATTAGTAAGTAGTTCTTGGTTTTTTCTTCAGATTTTTTTTTAAAGAAATAAAATAAATGCTGATATAGCTAAAGCCACCTTCATCCTTCTTTCCTTTCTCCTCAGAGGTAAACTGCAGTCCCGAAGTTGCTGTGTATCATTCCCATGCATCTTTTAATACTTTCTTGGCACTATGTGTGTGTATTTTTTTTTTTTCCATTAAAAAATACATAGCAGCAGTGTTACAGCTCTTTTAGAATTTCTCTAGCAGCTTCTCTGGTCCTCACTGGCAGACCTCCCCAACCCCCAAAGACATAGTGGTGTTTTATGCCTTTGAAAATTTTGCATACATTTTCATAGTGGAAAAGGGGTGCTGAGAGATACAGAATATTCTAGGCAAAAAGAATTAGTAGAGTCATAAGACTGAAAAACGGAGGTACGTATCCAAGCTGTGGCAAGTGATGAGGTCCCAGCTGCTTAGGAGCAAGCAACGTAACACAGGGTTGAAAAAGGTCAATTGGTTTATGACGTAAAGGGCCTCCAATATAAAGAGGATAGAACTTCAAGGCTGTAGGATCACTGAAAGTTGCTGTGTGTTTCCTTGTTTTTAAGCTCAAGAGAAATGTGATCAAAGCTATGCTTTTTGATCAGGCTAGTGCTTTAGGAAGATTATTCTATAACCAGTGTATGGGGTCAATTGGGAGAGGGAGAAAGAAAATTGCAGAAACCAGTTGGCCTATTTAGGTCAGACAAGAAAGTAATGACAGTGGAGATGAAAATGGAAAAGAGGTGATATGAGAGACGTTGTGAAAGTACTTGCTTTGGGAGTAAAGGTCAGAAGAATCTATTCATGTATCATTACAGATCTAAAGGTTTTTTCCCTTTCCTTCTGATATTTATTAGAATTAATTAGGAGTCTGAAAACTTTCTGGGGAGGGTTTGGGGGAAAATAGAGGGAAAGTGGAAAAGCAAGGGAATGTCTAAAAGCATATTTGATATTCATAATAGTATTTTTAAAAATTTCTGTTTTAATGTTTTTCAATTTTGCTTCCCTTATTTTAAATAACATTAGAAGTTAAAACATCTGTTTTATGGTATTTTTTTATTCCTCTAGGATTCCATTGAAGCTGAACTTACAAAGAAAGTGGATATGATGGAACTGTGACCAGAGCCAAAATAAACAACCTTTTCCCTAACAAATTTAATAGGACTTTAGAGAATTTTTTTCCCTTTATTATTGCTTAATAACGTAATTTCTGTGTTCTTAGTAGAGATGACAATGTCATTATTGATAGAATAATGGTTTCTTGTTGTATATTGCATTTTCGTGCCCAGATATAAAGTTTTCATATTAAAAAACCTTTTCTCTTACTGGTTGGTTTTCTGTGTGGCTGGTGGTTAAGAATCCTTCAGGAGCTCTATGAGGTGAGCAGTACGACAGCTGTCATGCACGTGCTCATTAGTTCACCTAAAGTGAAAAGGAAAGGCTCTGCCACTCCGGTTATGTTTCTCCCACTCTCTTCCTTCTCCAGGGGTTTGCTGTCATTCTTTCTGATCAGCTCACCTGCCTACCTCTAAATGTTAATATATGCAGGAATTTAGTTTATGAAAAAAACGACCTTTTAAATCAATAGTAGAAAGATGGATAATTCAACACTTGGCACTAGATCCATGCTTTATACCTTATGTTGGGATAATTCAAAGGATCAAAGATTTAAATATAAAAAATTTAAAAATAAAGGTGCTAGAACAAATCATAGGGGAGTTTTAATGTTTTGATTTTTAAATAATCATGGAGTTGGAAATATATGACCAAGCCCAGGATCCTGCATAAATGAAATGATGTAAATATTTTGAAATATTAAGAATACCTGCATGGCAAAATCTTTCATAAGTAAAATCAATGGACATGGCATATGCAGTACAGGGAGAAGGAAAGAGATTTTTCTATTATGTATCTTTTTGTACTTTTTAACGTTTTGGACCGTGTAATTAAAAATCAATTCATTTTTTAAATGTTATCTAAATGCCATTAAAAATATCCCTCCTTCTCTCCTTTCCCTTGCGCCCAGCTAAGAAAAACATTGGTGTTTCCTTTTAGAAACTTTCCATATCCCTTAGCGTTTATGTATTAGGTCTGTTTCTTAACCAACTTACTCAAGCTCCTTGTGTATTAGCTAAATTAACCTTTTGTGATTTGAGTTGCAGATGTTTTTCCAAGTTTGTCATTTGGAAAATGTCATTTGGAAAGCATTTACCATGCTTTCTGTAAGGCAATTGGTAGATTGATTGTGGAAATGACCACGGTAATTCCTCTCATCCCTGTACACTCACCCCTTTGGGACACGACTTTGCTACTTCTCCCATCAAAGGCAGAGTCTATATCTTCACTTCTTATAAGAGGGCTTGGCCCTACGACTTGTTTTGACCAAGGAGACAACATCAAATGTGACAAGAACTAAGGAATAAAAACTGCTTGTAGGCTGGGCACAGTGGCTCACACCTGGAATCCTAGCACTCTGGGAAGCTGAGGCAGGAGGATTGCTCGAGGTCAGGAGTTTGAGACCAGCCTGAGCAAGAACGAGACCCAGTCTCTACCAAAAATAGAAAAAATTATCCAACCGTGGTGGCAGGAGCCTGTAGTCCCAGCTACTCAGAAGGCTGAGGCAGGAGGATCGCTTGAGCCACAGAGTTTGAGGTTGCAGTGAGCTATAATCATGCCACTGCACTCTACCAGGGGCGACAGAGCAAGACTCTCAAAAAAAAAATAAATAAATAACACTGCTTGTGCATTGAAGCTTGCCCTCTCTCACTGCTCTCTGGAATTTTGAGACCACCTGGTAAAGAAGTCTGGACGAGGCCGGGTGCGGTGGCTCACACCTGTAATCCTAGCACTCTGGGAGGCCAGGCGGGCGGATCACTCAAGGTCAGGAGTTCAAGACCAGCCTGAGCAAGAGCGAGACCCCGTCTCTACTAAAAATAGAGAGAAATTAGCTGGACAGCTAAAAATATATATATAGAAAAAATTAGCCGGATATGGTGGCGCATGCCTGTAGTCTCAGCTACTCGGGAGGCTGAGGCAGGAGGATCACTTGAGCCCAGTTTGAGGTTGCTGTGAGCTAGGCTAATGCCACAGCACTCACTCTAGCCAGGGCAACAGAGCCAGACTCTGTCTCAAAAAAAAAAAAAGTCTGGACAAGTCTATTGGAGGATGAGAAGCTACATGGAGCAGAGAGACAAGTAATTCCAACTGAGTCCTGCCCCCAGCCCTGAAGGCCAAACTGGCTGCCAACTGCTAGATGTGTGAATGAGGCCTTCTTAGACTATCTAGCTGCAGTCGAGTCACCAGCAGACTGAGACTCCGCTTGGCAGAGATCAACCAAGCTAGCCCAAGCCAGAAGCTTAACTGATTTGAAACATTAATTATGTTTGCAAAATCCCTATACAGCAGCACCTGAATAGTGCGTGACTGAATAGCTGGGAGAAGGTGTGTGTGCTGCAAATCGTCTGCTGCCCCTCCTTTTACTCTCCAGCTCTCATGAGACAATCTCCCATGTAACCCACCCTAACTGAAGAAATACTAGAAAAGGAAATCAATAGAGCTTACCCTCTCTTACTCTACCCAAGTTTACACAACACAAAGCCATCCCACACAGATTCAAGGAGTTAGCAAATTCCAAGCAGGATATATACAAAGAAATCACACATAAACATAGACAAGGAGAAACTCTCGAAAGCAGAGGAAAAAAAATATTTTCAAGAGTGCATAGTTATAACTGACAGTGAATTCTCAGTAGTGACAATGGGAGCAAAAGTTCAGGGGAATAATATCTTTAATAGGCTAAAAGAAAAAAATACTATCACCCTAGAAATCTTTATCAAAGAAAAGTATCACTCAGGAATGCAAGTGAAAGAAAGACCTCAGACAAATGTGGAGACAGTTCATTGACAGCAGACCTACCATAGTAGAAATTCTAAAAGATTTT